CGCGTGCTGGAGCTGGAGCCTGGTTCGCCCCTCTCATGGCTGCCAGAGTTGTTCTCCTCATCGGTAACTTCCAAGGATTGCTTTAATGGAGTCGAATAAGGGTTACTGGTACTGCTATCTGTGGCAGTGGGTATATTTTCAGCCCACCATCGATTCGCCATTCTTTTCCTCGATATGTTCTTCTTCTTAAACCCCAGAAAAAAAGAAGAAAACCCTCAACGCAAATATATACACAGGAACTGAAAAGAGGAATCCAATGGGTGGGAGAGAAGTTTCTATATCATGTTTAACCTTTATTCCACCACCCCCTTTTCTCTCTCTAAATGAATAACGACAAGAGAAAAACGACTAAGCGATTAATCTACTTTCTTTTCCTCTTGGCTTCGCCCCAGAACCAGATCGATTGCTGCAATAGAACAAATGACCCGAAAATCAAAACCCCTTTAATTACTCGGAAGATCCAAATCAAACAGTGTAATAAAAACAGAGAATAGCAACATGGGTTTTCTCCAGAACCCCACAAAAACGACAATGGATCGAATCAAATAAAGAGGAGAAAGGCAAGAATGTGGGGGCAGAAGAGAGAAGTTGTACCTATGAGTTTGCTTATTATGTACTGCAAGAGTCAGAGAAATTAGTGGTTCCAGTTTCTGGCGGTGGCGCTGCTCTGTTTCTGCGGGGTAGAGGGTAAAAGAAGGAGGAGGAGGGCAGGGCAGGCGTACGATAAGATTTGATCACAGTGATGGCTCTTCTTTTGCTGTCCCCCACTTGTGGATGCGGTGTCTTTTCTCTTTTCTCTTCTTTTGTTCTGATGGGCGGCAAGGCAAGTTGAAGCTGGGGCAGCCCCCAAAGGCTTTTAATGGTTGAACCGCCATTGAAATGGTTGTGATTCCATGGTCCTGTTCCTAACAACAGTGGGTTTGAATTGGGGAAGCCATAAATGGGAGATTTGGGAAACGTGGAGGGGGATGGAGGGAGGCGTGGGGTTGGGGTAAGGTGCGCATCGAGGAGTGGGAAATGGTCAGTGTCTGAGTGTGAGAGTCCCGACAAAGGTATCGAAAGCGGCAGCGCCCTAAGGTTTTAAGTCTCCATTTTGTGTTGGAATTGGAACATCACCGCCAAAAAACAACACCCATTCCCCCCCTCCTATAGTCCCTTTTTTCTCCCATGTTTTTAATCAACATTTGTTTATATCTAAATCTGGATCCGGAACAAACACTCAAATACTTCGATTTAATAACAGTCGAATCTAATTTTGAATATGAAGAATCAAAATTGCATACATGTAAAATGAATGTATGTCTACTTATAAAAGAGAGGGAGTAGATTATTCCACTTCTCCGATCTATTACGATTGTTTCAAAAATTAGTTGTATGATTACAAACGTTTGTGTAAGATACCTCGGAATTAGTTTTCTAGAGGATCAATGTCGTTTGACTTATCTTAGAATTACTCTAGTTGAGCTTCATAACTCACCATTTTACATTTCTTGATGTTATTTGGAAAAAAGTCAAGTGAGATCATCTTTTTTTACGTAGTAGGTCGTATTTTGTCCTCCAACAAACATCATTTTTTAAACATAATTGCAGAGTAGAAATCGAATGATTGATCTTTAGAATAGTAATGATTACCCTAGGCTAGTTATTTAGATGAGTAGAACTTCCTTAAGAGTAAAGATTTAGTTCCTAATGTAAAAATATTTATGAAGGTGTACTAAGATTAAAATTTTAGTGTACATAAATAAAAATCGTAAAAAGGAAATGACATATCTGTGAGATATAATCGGTATGAGTAAAATTAAGTATAGCTTAACTAGTTAATACACCTGTTTGGGGAAGAGAATACCCTGGACACATGGAGGACCCCTATTGGTGCTCCAAGATGACTCATGAGTCATGCCCAGCTCGGACCGCCGAGATCACCACCACTAGCGTTGACAG